AAATATTATCAAATTTGTTTTGGTTGTGTCTTTCGAAAATAACGAATTCTAAATAGAGGAAAATTACAAGTTTTGCGCTGAGTCGGAACCAAGTTATGACCTTTAGTCAATATTTATGAAGTAACGATATGTAATTTGAAAACTGTAAATAATATTTACGTTCCGATGTAATAGCAATTTCAGAATAATTCTCACCACATTTTACATTCACGGCCTTATGGAATTTGTTCTTTTTTCTCTGGGCTGACTGTAATTGTAATTATAAAACCTTGAACATGATAAATAATTTCTTAAATTTTGGAGGAATCATGTGTTGGATACAGCATTTGACTATACATATATTTGAAGATTATTGCATATTATTGTCAGTTCAATAAAACCTTTTGTATTACGTAGAGGTAGTAATTTGTTCGAATGGCGACATTAACTCCCATCAAAATAGATTTTATCCACCCCTGGTCAACGAGACCATCCGGGAGTCCAATTAATAATCGATTTTTTTCCACAACTCGCCGTATGGGATAATTAATTGTCGTTGCGGGACCTGATTGCACACCTGTGTGACCTCGCGTAGACTTTGCCGTATCTAAACTGAATTAAATCCAGTGACGTAGATGCCAGGTAATAGATAGCCGGGTATCACGTAAACGACGAAATACCAATGAAAATATCGATTTTGCATATCAAATGGAAAGGTTCATATCGAATTGTCGGATTGAAACATATACTGTCTCCTAGTTGCCCCCTAACCTGGTGCCTCAAATTATAACAGAACAAAAGTACCAAGTGCCCTATCTCGAAAAGTAATTGTCGTAAAGACTTGGGTTGAAAAAACTTGTGATTAAAGCGGCAAAGAGAAAGAGAAAATGCTGGAAATGATTTTTAAATTTCTAGATAAGCCGCCAGGGGGCATAATCGCATTTTAAATCCCGTTTTTTGAAAAATAATCTGAATTAACATGCATGTACAACGTTTTAAAAATAGGTAAATATGATTTTTTTCCCTTAAATAAATAAATAAATAAACATTTTGTCATACTTGATATTATTGAAAAGTGCTCTGCGAGAGCGCTGATCTGAGCAGATTGATTTACATTGCCTGTATCTTCATTGCAGGGCGCATGGTAACATTACTACAAATAAAATATACTTTCTCAAAAAAAAATCAAATGCAACAACAAGAGATATATATCAGTAAAAGAAATAAAAACCAAATAATGTTGCAATTTCTTGGAATATATTCACGATATTATTACTATTTACAAATCTTCTGGATTACTGCTGCTGATGATCTTAATTGAAACAGGTTTCAGTTAAACTCTGAAGAAGTCAACAGGATGATTGGCGAAATATCAGCGTGTTCGATCCATCAACAATCGACGCAGAAGGAATCCAGAAGATTTGTAAATAGTATTAAGCAGTGGAAGTATCTTTGAAGAAGATATTATTATTCATTATTCAATTCAAATTTTCGTTATCTATAAATTTAGTGTTAAAATGCCAACATTATATTGAAAATGCCAATAATAATTAATATTCAATGTATATATATATATATATATATATATATATATATATATATATATATATATATATATATATATATATATATATATATATATATATATATATATATATATATAATATTTCCAAAGATGCGACATTATTTTGAGTGGTTATTGCTTTTACTGATAGTATAGGTTAGGCAAGTGATATCGAAATGCTTTTTTCGCTGGCAAGTTAAAACCTCATTTGACTATATTTTATTGCAATAAGAGTGGTATCGTTGCATTTAATGTTTTTAATAAAATTAATTTTATTTGTAGTGATGTTCCAAAACGCCATCTAGCGGCGATACAAGCAATCTAAACAGATTTGATCAAGACCCCCCACCATTTTTCTTTAAAGATAGAGCAAAAACCATTGAACGTAAAAGAATCGAATTTATCCCAACTTTCAAATGGTGTCTATATCATCAGCTATTTACAACATAAAAAAATATTAAAATTTAATTTTTCCATGGCTAAAATTAGTTTTGACCTTTGTACTTTTAATTTTTTCAGAATGTTTAAATTTTGTTTTAATGAAAATGTCAATATCTTGAAACAGCTCAAAAAACAGTTATTTTATGCTGCAATTCAATAAACATTTAAAAATAAATGATCTGCGAACAGCAAAAATAGTTCATATGCTGAAACAAAAAGATTTGTCAGTTCTTGTCTTTTAATAATAATTATGACGTTTTTTAGGTATCATCTAATTGCGAATCGTGATGAAGCGAACAGAACTCAAAAAGAGTGAAGAAAATTAAGTCATGAGAAACATACTTTTGATTTACTTCATCGGTAACCGACTGTAACTTATTGAAAAACAAATATTTATTGCGAAATAAATTGATTTTGATTGGCATATATACAGAGCGGTCCACATTGAGTGCGTTGTTAAAAATTCCGAAGAGAAGGAACGATAACTTTTCCAAATCTGTTAGTAACCTATATTACAGAAATTAATTTTTTACCGCAAACACAGCGTTGCCATAGCTACCAGAAATCAATGGTATCCAACATTTTCATTCAAAGTGGATAATAAATTTTTCTAACTAAATTATAGTCGAATCAAATTATTTTTACACAACAGTGCATAGTGAAAGTTTTTTCTTCTGTTTGCAGATAAACAAAATGGAATCGTGGTTGGTCGATGTAAAAAGAGTTCGTATTCCGAGACCAAAGTTTGGCAGCAGCGGTCGATGTTACGTGTATCCACCCACGGAACCCCCGAAAGATTACATCTACGATGACCCGCAAGTGAAAAGTTCGCTACAGACGAACAATTTGTCCAAAGCGACCGAAAACCTTCGGAGAGCCTTACACGAGAAACTTTAGTTTTGCGTTGTCGCAATGCCATTTGGGTTATACTCTAACTTATAATAAGAATTGTGTTATTTTTTATATGCCAAGTGGTACGACGTTAGATACGGAAATATAAGCGCCCCTTTAAACCGCTGTATTATAAAGACGTGATACGTTAGTAATGAAGACGTGACTAACCAAAATGATCACGGAATTTGTCGCAGAAGACTACTTACAATACAATCATTGATTTGTATTGGTACTATTCCTCTCGCTTTTCAAATTAACAGGTTGGATTGTGCTGCGTTTCTAGATAATAAAATCAGCATTTTTTATTTATTTTACAAATATTTGTTTAACGTAATGTATTTACTTAATATATTTTGTTAAGAATCATTCTGTAATTTATTTCCTTATATGTGAATAGCTGAATTCAAACTTGTGCTATGATAATCTTATTGTGCTTATTAGAGTTACGATGCTCATATTGCTTTCACGGAACCTAACATGATTTAAAAAATTTCAAAAATGAGAAATTTGAAGTAAAAATCATTTCTTCTACTGACTTTTATTTCTTATTTTTTCCAGTAATTTAGTTTAACAGACTTTGTTAAAACAAAACAATTATATTTTATATCCACATTATAGAGATTCTCCACTAGATCCGAATGGTTAATATTTATAACAATTTTGTGCTTCATGGTTTAAACGAGCACAAATTTTGTAAGCCTATTGTCATACCATTTAAATTTTACATTCTATATCACAATTTTATTGCATATAAAATATTTTTTTTCGTGATTCCTACAAAATGAAAATGTCATTGCTAAGTCGTTAACCCAGATTGTTCATAAATGAAACGTTTTCAATGCTGCTATCAAATTATATTATATCAGTATTCCGTAATGCTGTTTTTTTTTGCCGCTCTAACCTTTTGAAATTATACTTACAAATTAATTTTATAGTATTGTCAAAGAACGCAGAAATGTTATTTAGCATCTTTTGGGACCTCACAGCCCTCTTAAAAAAATATTATCTAAAGTTTTCATAAAATGGTAAATATTTTTACGTAATTTTCATAGGCTATCATTATATAACATCCATTGGATACAATTCTTTTAGAAATTTGCGCCTTTTCCATGTTTGTAAGCGCCACATAAAGGTTACCAGCCATTTTTAAAATTAAAGAGTTTTATTAAAAGTTGTTATATATTGGTGTTTTAGAATTGTATATCATGAATTAAGGGAGAGAGCTTTGGGGTTGGACATTTGTCCTACATTTCTTAACTTAATTCATGTTTTTTTAACATTTGTAATACCACTTTAGATATTTTATGTATGTAGAGGCATTATTTAGTGTACCACAAGTATAAATACGAAGTACGTAAACTTAAATAAATAAAACAAATTTAAATATGAATTGTTATTATTTATCTTGTTGTTTGGATGTTGTGTTATTTCATTTAAACTGTAAAACTAAAAATAACAGTTTGTAACTAAAAACTAGTTTTTGTATACTAGTTTTAGATAGAAAATTTTTCACAAAAAAAATTGCTCGATTTAAATATTATTTGTTCATAGACAGTTAATGGCACGCCACTGATTTCCTTAAAACGAATAATGACATTTCCATTCATTAATGAGCACATTTAATTTCTTATTTTTTTTTAGTCCCTCATTTAAAAATAAAATCTAATTTCTCTGCCAAACCGTACATCGGCTTAAATTTCTTTACAAATGAGAAATAAGAAACCAGTGACGTATCATCAATGTTTGCTAAAATAGACAGGTGAAATTCCGTACGTCCGCAACTGGTGTATTTTTAAAAAAATAATGATGCCTCTTGATACATAGTATATTTGTGCCAAATTTCATTAAAATATCTAAAGTGGTATCACAGATATTAAAAAAATAACTTTTATTTTTCAAAACTTTACCGCCCTGAATCTCAAAAGTTGAGACGTTTAGGACATGTGACATATGAAGTTTTTTTTAAAAATAGACCGAAAAATCGCCACCTTAATTATTGACATTGAATTATAAAACACCCTGTAGTAAGGTATATGACAATTTTCAGCGCGTTTGTGCTACTTGAAGCTAGGTATTTGCCAATATAACGGAAGCGCTCACTTATCCTGCAAAACGCACTTACCGAATCTTGAAAGTCCTGCTGATGCAACGCTGTCGTGCTGCCGGACCTGGAATCGCCAGGGCTTGAGTGCCTCCTACTTTCCAGGGCATCTTCCTCGCCACCGCCCACATATTCCTGAAACCCGAGCGAGCTTCCATTAAAATTTTGAGGGCAGCTTTAGTTAAACCGCATAGCGAAATCACAAAAAAAGTATTTTTTCTTCATCGCAGCGGAAAAATTACGGTTTCGTCGTCAAGTTTTACACTTTTTTTTTCAAGTGACATAAATTAGATTTCGGTGAAAGTGGGGACATTTATTTTCGCTCCCAAATGTGAAAAAAATTACTGCTAACAAATAATTTCAGAAGCAAAATGCTAAATTCTAATTCTAGAACAGATTCGGTTACGGTGCAGGGAAGAAACATGATAGAAATATGTTGGTGCCTGTGCTCTAATAAAACGCCAAATAAATCTCGAACGAACCGGAAACAACCGCGAATGAAGATTTACCTTGCGTTTTAGCGACTCTACTTTTGTCCGCTCAGTAGTCAGTACTCATTTTTAGTGGCAAACTATATCACAGAAAATTTGAAAAATTCACAATCGGATGCGGAATCTGTGGAAAAAATTTGCCACCAAACTACGGAGCCCAAGCTGGACGTTGTTTAGCTAAGCTTACAAGAAGAGAGGAAGGAAACTTCAAATAGAACGAAAGAAAAAACACTTGATTCACCTGGCTCTGGTGACGGCCTTCGTTTATTTCCGAAACGCATTTTGCAGGTGCGCTCGGCGGACGTTTTCTAAAATCGCAAAAAAACCGTGTTATCGGGGTAAATGGCGATAATTCTTCGGCGATTATGAAAGACAATAATAAACATAAATAAAATATATCAAACATAGCGAAATATGAAAATTTTTAACAAATAGATATTACTAGATATGGTACGAGTGTAGAGTAACAATTTGCTATTGATATTATATTGTCCGAATGACTAACTGCACAGTTAGTTCTATAAGTATACCGGGTGACACAATAAAGTGGAATAAGGAACAGTAACTTTTAGCCCATTTGATGAAGCGATTTGAAATTTGGCTGGCTTAGTGTGGGCGGATTTGTAACACTATGCTTCGGGTTTGAGCTTAAATTGTTGAATTTTAATTGGCAAACTATATTTTTCGCATTTTTGGATACAGGAAATTGTTCCTCGCAGAAGAGCATCATTTTTCCCAATCATTTGTTATTTTTAAATTTATTTAATGTTAATGGGAAAAATTCTATATAAAAATTTATGTTATTTGTGTAATTGTGCAATGGCATTTTATGTGATGAACTAATATTTTTTTAGATTTTTTTTTCAAATAGCAGCCCAATGGAAACAAACTTTTTAAAATCGGCATTTTTTGGCAACATTTGTCAATATTTATTTTGACACCAGTAAAAACAACGGTTGATCTTCTATATTAAAAACACCGAATGCCACAGTACGTGACATAGATGTGAATGGTGTCCAATAAAGAAAAACGCGGAAAGATCGTAGTGTGCCAAAAAGTCTGATTGACATCCACCATGCCGAAATAGTAAGACGATGATGCGTATCAGAACAATATCGCTTTAACAATTAAAACTTTACATTAAAAATTGCGTAGTGTTTGGGACATACTGCAAAACCATCATTAAGAGACAAGTTTTGATGAAATCAAGAAGAATTTCGAAGTCCCCATTATATATATAGATGAGACTTGGTTTGATAGCCACGATACCGCCAAGAAAGAATCGACTGATGGTTACAGCAAGAAATGTTCCTTGAATGTGCCAGTTTCGCTAGGTAAACCATACTACATACTACATGCTTGTTCTGAAGCTGGTTGGGTACATAACGCTTTGCTGCTTTCTGCAAAAGATGTTAAAGGAGCAGAAGTTGACTACCACGAAAGCGTAACAGCCATGGAGCGGGGATTCAGAGTTATCTGTCTTCTGCAATATCACTGCAATTTTAATCCGATAGAACTGATATGGGCGCCAACTGAAACCCAGTTTAAGAAGAAACAACGCTTTGCCGAAATTTAGTTCTGAGGCAATAGAATTAATTATAAGTGAAGTAGAAAAAATAGCCGCTTTTGGTTGGAAAATATGTGTAAGATATGTCATCGGAGAAGACAATGTTTGCAGAAGTTGAAGTTGAAGAATTAATTATTAATGTGGAGTTGTTTTATAGCAAAATTTATTGCTTCATTTATATATAATAAACATTTTATGCACGAAGTACCGAAGTACGGTTCTGGAACTTTATTGTGGAATTGCGAATCTATTTATTGATGGTTAAAAAGCGAGGCAGGCCTGCGGTTAGACCTTTATAAAAAATTACCAAAGTTAAAAACGGTATATCGTTCGTAGAGCTCTACCATGTTTCGAATAGTAATGCTTCAACGAGTTTTGGAAAATGATCGTATTAGTGCATTAAGAGAAACATTAAGTTCAGTTGATTTAAATCTACCAGTTTTTTTAAATAAAATTTTTTCCATCACGTAAAAGCTCAGAAAATCTCCTGACGTACTGACCGTAATATAATCCAATTTAGCGATTAATTTTTTTATAGTGAAATTAATATGAATCATGCAAAAAGTCTTTGGACCTTATTTGTCATTCAACAATGGCAACAAAATATTAAAGTAGCTAGTTATTTAGGCAGTAAAAGGAAAAGTATATTTAATGTGTAACATTTATTATTGCCTTTCAATAAAAAATCTGTTATCACTCATGGCGCGGTCTTCTGTGACCTCCCGTCCGTTGCAAATTTTCTCCTCACCTCACGTTCTGCTTCTCGGTATACCCCATTCCCAATCCAGAGTCCTCACTAGGCGAACGGTAATCTTCAGCACTAAATATCCCCTGGGGCAGAAATTCGTAGTCCTAAAAGGGGTTCTTTTAATTTTGTGCCGTCACATTGTCTAACCCGCTTTTAAATATCAAAACGGACAAAAAATATTTTGCAATTAAAACAAACTCTAGGCTATTTTTCACCAGAAATTTTAAGTCAATTTTCCTTATCTATAAGTATCAATTCTAAAAAGTATGCGTATATCTGTTTAAAATTTTGATCAATCTGAAAATTTTAGAAATCAGCTTACCGTGGAAGTAAAGCTTTAAACCATCTGGCATTCGGAGCTCGAGTTACCTTACTTTGGATTATGTCATAATTAATTAAATATTAACTTATATAGCCGTAACTGTAAATTAAAAAGTCAAATGAAATACCAATCTACACAATTCCTACAATTACAATTACAATTTCTCGTTTCGTTTCCAATTACAAGTAGCTCTTTAGATGAATGGAAATGAATTAATTGCTAACGCATTACTCAACAGTGACGCAAATATTTTTTAGCAACATTTTGTTTCGCTAAAATCATGACGTTCAGTGCCGTCATCGAACCTTCATTTATCCGCGCAATGAAACGTTATTTGTTTTATACTATAGTTACAGCAACAAGCACCACATATATCTATCAAAAAAGTATGAAGAATGTGGACTTACCTGAGGATAACCAGCGTAAATCGAGTGATTCGCCTCGGGAACCGGGATTCCTTTTCTCTAAAATTCAAACAGACATTTATGATGAAATTGTAAATATTTTTCAAATTTTAAATCTCATTTTATTTATTTATTTTTTTACGTATGGCGTCCCCAGATTTTACTTATCTCGATTTTTAATTGTTAGGAATAAAGTTTGCAACAAAAACGATAAATCAGAACAATTTTTAGAGCGTTCTCTGGGCTGCTTAATAAATTAATTTTTACTACGACACTGCGGGGTATTTTTAATCAAAGGATTTGTTCACAGTCAAAATATTAATCGCGAATAATATTTCAATGCGAACTTACAGATATATTCACATTTTTCCGGTGGATTTTTGAAGGTGTCAGATGATATTCCACATTTGTTATTCAAAATGTGATCTTATTAGCACGCATCGTCTGCGATGATCCCATTCCGGGGAGACAAAAGAACCATTATCTCGCATTAAGCAGAGTAATAACGAGTTAATTAGTTACTAATGGCGCAATTTACTCACCCTAGAATGCCGATAATCGTGTTCCCTAGGATCCCGAGTTTTTAGCAACTCGGCGTCTCTCCTATAAACTAGTTCGTCGAATCTCGAACGGTCTTCGACTGCTACGATTTCTCTTAATTCGGTCATAAGAGTATACTGTAAGTAAAAAAACACAAATAGATATTGTTTAAATAACGCAACACTCTCGAAAATACGCAAAAATGTTCAAGACGCCCAGAATCCATATCCAGTGAACCATAGAACTAAGAACTACATATTTTATTAACATTTTTGATATAACAAAACTATTTCAATTTCAAAGTTTGAAGCACTTTATTACGAGCACAAAAATTCGTAATTGAATATTCGACTTGGGACCTATCCTCTCTATGATTAAACAAAACGGAGAAAATGCCCGAAGATCTGCAGGCAATCGAAAGTACCTTAGTATTCTGTGATGACGATAATAATAATAATAATAATAATAATAATAATAATAATAACACAAACAAATATAACAATGCTATGTTAATCCTATACAAATCTTATCTAGAGAAATTACTGTAATTATACCAGTGGGAATAAATAAGTAAGGAGTGGGAGTAAGTAAACAAAATATATACATTATAGTAACTTTGAGGTTATAACATTGGAAGATGATTAATTGATTTTATAACATTTTTACTCAGCGATATGTAGGTGCTATGTTAGATATATTTGTTTAATAGTGATTTAAAAGATAATTTTTATCTTGTATTTTGAAACTATATAATGGCATGTCAAGAAACTGGTGGGGAATTAACTTGAAATATTTTACGGCGTTGTATGAAAATGAGCGCTGAAACATTGCAGTGTTATGATGTGGTGGCATACTTAGATTGGCATTATTTCTAATACCGTGGACAGTGATAGGAAATATTAAACGATTTTTTATAGAAACCGGCTAAATATATTAAACACAAATGCCGAGAAATTTAGGAACCTGCGCTCATTCATTTTGAGCCATTTTATATCATTGTGTAATAGACATAGACAAATCTAATGCAGACATTCTGTACTAACTTTCCTGTTCGAAACGAAAACAACAGACAAAGTTACAATAAGCGAAATTAGAGAAGACCTGGGAATCGCTTAAAATATTATTATATAAAATTTTCATTGAGGCGAAGAATTTTTGAAATATTTTTTTGGTTTTCTTTGAATGTAAGTTTGCCGTCTAAGATAACTTCCAGATTCTTGGCACAATCTTTAAAATTTAATTTCGAGTTGCCGATTACTATATTTAATTCCCAGCGATGCAGGGACGTCAATAGCGACATATATGTCTGCTTCATCGACTATCAGAAAGCTTTTGACAGCGATATGGTCTGTTGCAGCTTATTTAGCACGGTAAGGTCTTTGGAAAAAGAGGCCCAGGATGGAGGAGAATCTCATTGCTCCACAATCAGAAAAAATGGTTCTCTCTTATAACCACAGGACGTTTCAAAGCAGCAGTCGACAAGATTAGAATAGCCATGCCAATAGCCAGCATTAGAAACGAATAGGCACCTTAAGAAGAAGAAGATATGTAACACTTTTTACAAAAGTTCTGGATTTCTCCTGCGTCGGTTTTTGCTGAGTCGAAATTGCTGACGTTTCGCCAATCGTCCTGTTGGCTTCTTCAGAGCTTGACTGAAACTGGCTCGTATTTTACTCTGCACCTGGTTATATATTGTTTAAGGGGGCGGAGCTAAATGAGGGGGATAAACACCGTCTCGGATGACTGATTCCCAAATTGCTGAGTCGCGGTTAAGATTGTTATGTTGTTTATAGATTTCTCTAGGCCGTCCGATTTTTCGTTGGTATAAGAATTGATTACATGCAAGAATTCTAGTTTTATCGAATAAAATTTGATGTCGGGTTTCATGAGTTTGTTCGGCAACAGCTGATGAGTTTATTTGTCTTAGTCGTAAGACTCTTTCGTGTTATTTGAGCCTAGTTGATATTTTTCGTCCGTTCTCTCTAATGTATTCTTTGCCGCATATGTGTGGAATGCTGTAAACTCCTGGCATCTCAAATAGAATTTTGTCTTTGACGGACCAAAGATGTTGAGAGATTTTTGGACAAGTGGTAAATCTGATTTTGACGTTATACTTCTTTAGAACTTTTGATATGTGGTCAGTGACGCTTTGAATGTAAGGAAGGACCACAGAAGATATGTAATTTGATCTCCTATTTGGCAAGATATTGAGAAATTTTGCATTTTAATACACATTATAAGAGTGTTTTACGTACAGCGTAGTGGTACAGTTTTCTTCTAAAATTCATAAATTCTGATATATTTTTTCTGATTCTGATTAGTTTTTTGGCCATGGAAAATACCGATTTTTTACATAATATGTTATAATAGGTTAGTTACTTGTCAAAGTAAACTTGTGTATGCTAATTGCTTGTATTCAATTTCTCGTAATTGTCATATTTTGGTTGGTTTCGCATGTCATGACTGTGTGACTGCTATAGTATGTCAGGAAACGGACGAACGTTTTTCCAAGGCGTATTGGCTAAAAAAAAATCAAAATTAAAGATGCATTTGCATTTAAAAAATCTCTTATGTGCTAAGTGGTGAAAACCTGATAGCAACTTTAAGAAAAATATTTAGACATACAGAATGTTCCATTAAAAAAATTGTGAGTTTCACTAAGCACTCCATTGGATTCTAAGTACCCTGCATAAACGAGCTACAATGGGTGTTTAAAAATAAAAAAACCATGGCTTTTCTGTTTATGTGAATTTTATTTAAAACTTTTAAGGAGCAAACGGAATTAGGGTATGAATTTCTCACAAACAATTGTAACTTTCGAAAAGGTATCCTATACAGTCGTGTTTAAATAGTCCGATACCAGCAAAAACCAAGCAAGGGGCAATATAGGTTTGCCTCATTTTGATTCACGATGAAGAACCATGATTTTTCACGATTTTGTCATGCTTTTTATTATTACCGTTTAAAGTGGGAGCAGAATCAATTTAGACTCATTAAATATCACTGATATTACACTTTAACACTTTTTCTACCGAAATCATAAGAATCAAAAATTTGACAGACCTTATCAGGAGTGTTAAGTAATTCAGTCATGCATTGTACGAAGGCATCTATGGTCATATGACGGGCGACATACTCGTCCGTATAGTAACATAGGGTGGTGAATTCCGGTCTAGCGAGGAGGCATCGCGCTTTCTCTTCGACCATCTGAAGAGCTGCTGCCCATTTTCGTGTGGTCGCGGCAGCTCGACTCCTGTAATAAAAATGACAGTTATTACGGTCCGTTGCTTTCCCGGAAACAACGAATATGACGCACATGTTATTGAGTTATTTAAAAATAAACTAAACTTGCATAAACTACGATTACCTGCTGGGACCATAAAAATGTACAGTTAGAGTTTTGGCGTTTGGATCTCGTAGTAAAAACGCAATAAAGCCTGTTACAGTATTGTTATAATATCGGAGTTATGGGGCCGTTAATGGCGGCCATTCGACAAGTTTATTAGCCGTTTTAATTTCGATTCAAGTGTTACTATTTCAACGTTATGCGGGACGTCTCCCTCGAGGTCCCACAAACATTTTAACTCTATATTTTGACTAGTTGCAAGGACAAGGTAAAAATGTTTTGACCGGCCTTGTATACTACCGATAAATTATTGGATTAATCTGAACTTATACCTTATAATAAGTGCGACTTAGACGCTTGTCGCTTATTTTCACTGATTGCCTGCATCCCATCTGCCATGAGCTTTCTCTTTCATTTATTTAGCGTAAAGAAGGTCAAGTAAAAAGAAAACTACACATTTTTTTTTCAGTCTATTAACAGCAGTGTTCAAATTTACCTTGGAAACTAACAAAAATATAAATCTATTAAGTAATTAATTTGGCGTTGTAATGGAAAAATCTGCAGATGGTTTTTACAAAATTGGTACTAAACATAGTGTAATTAGCTCTCTATATGTAAGGAATCAAATCCAAAGTTGCTAGGAACAACTATCACCCCGCGAAATTAGTGGTCACAGTTCTTCATTTAGATTGCAAGGGTTTCAAAAATATAACTGCCCCAAAACATGTACCACTAACCCTTGTAAATGTAAAAGATTAAGATTCAAGTGCAATTCTACCACATCTACGACATCTTGTACCAATAAGTGACATAATTAACACTAAATATATTTTATAAGGGTCCCTGTATAATATGTACTCCGTATATTATGCAACAAGTGCGGTAAACGGCATTTGACTCACGAGTTTATTTGACACGAGCGGAGCGAGTGGTTAATAAACTAGTGAGTTAAAAAGATTACCGAACGTGTTGCATACTATACTTTTTCTATGACCGCTAGTTTTTGGGTACATTTCACATTCACCGACATGAGTGTCAGAATTGACAAACGTCAAAATTCAAAGCGTCGGAATATCTGCGAAAACATCCGATTCCTCCCAAACCCGTGCGGTAAAATCCTGTAAATGTCCGAAGTGGCTCGGATTCGTGGGAAACGAAACTGACGTAGTAGAGCGACCCTTCGCGCACGCTAGAGCGGTGCGTAATTAGGTATGTTACAGACGGGAGTAGAAAAATGTTTTTTTTTCTTTTGTCTCATCTCTCATCACAGAAACTAATAATAGACTGTGCTGTTGGGAAACAATTTTTTTCAGAAAAAGTAGTCTGAGAAACCTATTTAACATTATGCATTATGGGTTTGTAATAAATATTTTTTAATATAACAATATTACAGCAGGTGTATTTATTTTCTTCTTTTGTTTATTTGTACATAGTATTATCTATCGTATTGTATTGTACGTCAAAAAACCTAGTGAGGATTTAAATGCAATTAAATTCGTGATTTTTTTATTTTTTTAACTTTGGCTTAAAAAAATATCTCAAAACTCATTATTGAAGTGACAATTATGGAAAAAAACCACATGACCTTCAGAAACATTATGAACACTGTACAATGTACGTAAAACCACAAACAAATTTTATGTTTATTATTAAAAATTGCTTGCTTCAGAGAAACCATAAGACTATATCTCTGAATATGATTAACAAAAATGTCCTGTTGGTCAAAAATTTAGAAAAATAGTTAAAACCGTTATATATCCTGAAATATATGTCTATTGCGATGTATTTTTTAGCATAGGTTTTTCCATGACAAGATCCCATAAAGTTTAAATGGGGTTAAGAAGTCAACCGTCATTAGTACAATTCTTATCAAATGGCTAATAGCTATTATTTTAATTTTATTTTCTGGTTGTATTATATGTTTCATTAGAATTCTATGATCCTAGGTATGAGCAGTATGAAACTGTTAAAATGTTTATAAAAAATTCGGCGTTTTATGGTAAAATTATAAAATTATTGGTAAAAAGAAAACATAGTACATATGATCATTGTCTTCACATATTTATGTGGTTTATCAATTCAAATATGATATTGAGTTGAGAACGTTGGATATATTTACTATATTTAATTCAACTATTAATTTTTTCTACTCCCGTCTGTAAAATACCTAATTACTCACCGATCTAGTGTGCGGGAAGCGCCGCTTTACCATGTCAGTTTCTTTTCCCACGAATCCGAGCCACTTCGGACATTTCCGAGATTTTACCGCACGGATTTGGGAGCTATCGGATGTTTTCGGGGATATTTCCCACGATTTGAATTTTGACGTTTGTCAATTCTGACGGTCATGTCAGTGAATGTATTCGTGTTGTTTTACGAAAATGTACCCAAAAACTAACGGTCGTAGAAAAAGTATAGTATGCAACACGTTCGGTAAACTTTTTACTCACTCATTCATTAAACACTCGCTCCGCTCGCGTCAAATAAACTCGTGAGTCCAATGCCGTTTACTGGACCTGTTGCATAATATACTATTAATACAGTGTGTCCAAGATAAGGATGCACAGCATGGGGATCTCGGAAACTATAAGAGATACAGTGTCGGTTAAATTAGACAAAAGTTGCGCATTTTGATACCGAACAAGATCCCGTTTTACAAATTTGAAAATTCCAAGCCGTTCCGGAAATATCCGAGAAAAACCGAAATATTGCGATTTCGTTTTTATTATTTTTTAAAGCTATTTGAAAAGATATGAAAAAACGGAAAACACTTTTCCATTGGCACTTTTTAATCTCTCCAAATTGACGTTAACAAATTTTCATTACAGCGTTTCGATTCCATGGAACCACCATCAACTTTGATTTTTCTTATAGGACGGAAAAAAAGTACACACAGTATTAGGTTGTGCTTTTCATTGCGAATTCAACGATGTACGATACAATACGGTTACTTATGTTTTTATCCAAAAAAATGGCTTTTTAATACATTTCTAGTATTTTATTGTAGTAGGCCATGAGATCCGAACGATGAAAGGCAAAAGAAAATGATTGACAAGTTCGAGTTAATGTGTTTATTTATTTACTAACTCTAACTGTTCATTTAACATAACAACTAAATCCAATAAGTTAATGAAAAACAAATTCTATAACAAATGTTCGAATAAATGACCTCCATTTTCTAGGCATAAGTACGCCCGTCTCACGGTAGACTCCAAAACACGACTTAACATTTCAGGAGTAATTTTATTAAACGCTGCTCGTACTGATTGACGTAATTGTTCCTCGTTGTCAAAACATTCTTTGAATACCTCATTTTTTATGTAGCCCCATAAGAAAAAGTCCAAGGGAGTTAAGTCCGGGGACCTTGGAGGCCAAGGTGTTTCACTGTAAGTCCCAATGTATTTTCCATCAAACCGTTCAGTTAAATATTGGCGAACTTCTCTGGAGTTATGGGCTGGGGCACCATCTTGTTGGAACCAGCAGCCTTGCACAGCGCCTAGCGGTAAATCATCTAAGGCATCTTCTAAATCGTGCCTCAAGATGTCAAGGTACCGCTCGGAAGTTAAGGAATTATTATAGAAAATAGGGCCTATAATCTTGCTACCAAAAATCCCACACCAAATATTAAACCCAAAGCGAACTTGATGTCTGGATAGTCTATTAACACGTGGATTTTGTTGCGACCAATAGTGTGTATTGCGCCTGTTATAAATACCGTTATTGGTCACCATACTTTCATCAGACCAAATCACTTTATATGGAAAATTAAAACTCTCATCACACATCCTGGTATACCACTCACAAAAATGTCTACGTCGTTCGTCGTCACCCGGTTTTAATCCTTGACATATTCTGAATTTGTAAGGCTTAAATTCATTTTTCCTTAAAATAAACTGAGCTGTAGATTTAGCTACCCCATTCTGGTCTTCAATTTCTCTGGTAGAAGTTTGTGGATTTTCGATAACAGATTGTAGAACAATGTATTGGTTTTCATTCATTGGAAGGTTTTTGTCGGGATAATGCAGGCTTCTTAAATGATCCATATTCTTTCAGATTAAATAACAAACGCCGAAAAATACTCTTGTCAGGTTGTCTCCGCTCTGGGTATTTGTTAGAATACATACGCTCGGCTTCCACACAATTTCTTTGGCATCAGATGTAGCAAGACAGCATATCACATTTTTCTTCGTTTGTAAAATTACCTCCCTCCATTGTAGAACAAAATAAATTAGAAAAAGACAACAACAATAAAAATACAAAAACAATAACTAAAGGAATAAACTTATGATCGACTGATAACAAAGACAAATAACATTAATGTGTCATTGAAATTGACTGGATGTCATTTTGTCATGGCCTACTCCATTTAAATGCTGAAATGTATTAAAAATCCATTTTTCTGGATAAAAACATAAGTAACCGTATTGTATCGTACATCGTTGAATTCGCAATGAAAAGCACAACCTAATACTGTGTGTACTTTTTTTTCGTCCCATAAAAAAAATCAAAGTTGATGGTGGTTCCATGGAATCGAAACGCTGTAATGAAAATTTGTTAACGTCAATTTGGAGAGATTAAAAAGTGCCAATGGAAAAGTGTTTTCCGTTTTTTCATATCTTTTCAAATAGCTTTAAAAAATAATAAAAACGAAATCGCAATATTTCGGTTTTTCTCGGATATTTCCGGAACGGCTTGGAATTTTCAAATTTGTAAAACGGGATCTTGTTCGGTATCAAAATGCGCAACTTTTGTCTAATTTAACCGACACTGTATCTCTTATAGTTTCCGAGATCCCCATGCTGTGCATCCTTATCTTGGACACACTGTATATAAAAATGAAAAAACTAATATTTATTTCTACTTGACAAGAAACAAAAATAACTTTCAGTTAAAAAAGTTAGTAACTTTTGCTATATAAAATGACTTTCACGTTCCGGACAAACAAACTATAATATATGCATATATAAATAAGTTTCCTGCTAAAATCAGAGAGTTAATTGAAAAGAAATTAGATAGAAATTAAAATCTTTAGTGACAACATATCGTTTGTTATAAACTGTCTGAAAATGAAAATCAAAAGAACAATAGATAAAAGTAAAAAAAAATTCACTGTCCTTGAATTGCACGAATCAGAAAACCGCAGGAATTGCCTAACACTTACCCAGGACTACAAAGATCCCAGTCTCTATCATAGGCAGTGCATGAATGCGGGACTTTTCCCACGTCTCTTACGAGAAGACTCATTCGTTTGTGGTACTTCAGCTGGGCGACAGCTTCATCGTGTGTGACGTCCAAGAACGACTGACCGTTCACCTCTAAAATTTGGTCGCCCACCTGAATAAAATATTTGTACATGACTCTGACATTCGCATAAGGAAGCAAAAACAAATGACATCCGCAAAATATTTTGATCAAAAAAAGTCATCCAATTAAAGCGAAAACTAATTAATCAATGGACTCCACTATCAATTAGCGTTGCGGGATACACGAAGCTGATAAAAATATAAAACCCACGAAAAATCGATGCCCTAAACTTGGCCGTTGTCGTTTTAATTGATGAGGCGGCACGTTAATGGAAATCTATTTTTATCTGTAGCATTTTCCGTGAAATTTAAAATGCAAACAGTTTCACTGAAGTATCATGATCGCCAACTGGCACAAACAAATTTCATGCTCGTGTAAGCCTCCATTAAACAAATTTATTGTGGGTAGAGGAATAACTTGACTTATTTTATATTAGGGTAAAAGGAAAGTCGATTTGTTTTTTAAAGCGACGTGAAATAAGCGATGGAAATAATCTGATAATCTTTACAAGACAACATCTATTTCCGATTGTTAAAGTTTTGGCATTTTTTCATTTTTCGGTTATCATAAAGTCACGTCTCACTTGTACTTATTTAAACGGCTTGCAGGGTGTTTCATAAAAAAGATTTCATCTAAATGTAAGCCCAGAAATGTTTAGTTTCAGGTCAGCTGATGGTGGTTATTCTCGCTTGCCTTTTTCTTCTATTCACGCCCCAATTGTAACTTTGGAAACTACAGCAAGAAATATTTTTGTAGACGAGCGACCAAACAGCCTTCTTAAGTCTCTCAGTCATGAATTTCGAGATCTTCCCACTGATCTTTCCCCAGTACTTTGCAATCTATTATGAGCAGAAATATTTCGTATAATTTTTCTTTTGCTAATGGTGTCCATTAACTTTGCACATGGTAGTTAATAAAGGTACAATTATATTCTATTGTTTCTCTGTCTGAGGGTTTCTCTCACACTCATAGAGCAAGGCAGACAATACGTAAGACCTTATTATTCTAATTATCATGAGATCCGTTCTTGTAAAAAATGTTTCCATACTAATAAAAACTTACCTGGCTTGTTCAATTCTCAGAAGATATTCTTTTCTCGAATTGCAGAAACAATTGATGTTAACTGTTGATATTTAATCACTTACCTAAAGATAACTTTTGAATATTAATAAATTAATAGTAATAATAATAATAATAATAATTAATTAATTAAAAAGTAGTGGAGATTAGACACACTCTTGTTGCACTCCTTTTTTAATCAGTATGTCTTCCGATGTTGTTTGGTCCACATTGATCCTTGTAATTTTGTGTCTTAATTTTTTAGAACAAAGTTTGGTGTATATCAAAGGATCCCTAAAATAAATGATTGCAAAAATTCCATTTGTCTATATTAATGATTTTTATTTATTCGCTTAAAAACGAGGGAAGAGATGAAAACAAATGACATGAAATGTTACAAAAATTGTACTTTTAGTGGATTTTTCAATGGAAAAAACTAATATTTGTAAAGTCAGTAGTGTAAATCCTATTAGATAAGATACCTATCGAGGCTGCACTGGACAAATTTTAATCTAGGTTAGTTAAAGCAAAATTATAAATTATAATATCCACTATAAATTATAACCAAAACTTCAACAAAATTGGACAAACATATTTTACATGTAAAAAAGCTGGATTTTGGAAACTAATCATTTTTGGGCTTGTGATTATACGAACTTTTTTTTTTGGACGAAGAATCTCCAGCCGAGCGTTGGAGCATGAAACACTCTGTGTAATGTATCTACTTAAATCGACATCATGTTCTGCGTGGTTTAAAACATGAAATTGAAACGTTTCACCTAAATTCTGTTTAGGGGTATACAAAATTTATCGCATAATATGAATTTTGTGCAAAACTAGCTTCTTTATTAAAATTTGCAATAAAAATTTATGAAAATGCCACGACAATTCTAACCTCTTTAATATTGTATATACGACATAACTAAATTTTCGGTAGAAATCAAATATCAATATCAAATTTAAATTAAATTAAGTTATAATCTGTAAATGTGTAAGAACTAGAGAATAAGCTTTTTTCACAAAACTAGGAATACAAAATTTTCCGGATATTAGCATGCATTTCTAAGAAGTAGTAATAAAGTGCGGGGTAATACATGAACCAAATGTTTATATCTACTCACCATGAGCCCTCCCCTGTCGGCTACAGAGTCTTTGTCGACTCCCGTGATGAAAATCCCCAAGTTGTATTCTACTCCACCCCTTATCATCAGTCCTAAGCTCTGGCCTGGTTCTATACACAAATCGACCTACAATCCAATTAAGTCGGAACTATAAATAACATTAATGAGAGTACCATAGAGGTTAGAGGACCGATATGAATAATTCCTTCTTTATTTATTTATATTAAAACCACCAAAATACAATTTGTTCTTAATATTAATCTTGTTTGTGCATTTGTCCGAAACCAAAAATTACCCCAAGACGTTTTATTAGTACCAAATTGGCATCTCTAATGAAAGAAAATGTAAAACAAGGGTTATTTAAGACGACGACTTTTTATGTAGATAAGGCGTTAGCTGAAGCTGCAGACGCATAATAATGATATGTAAATGTACAGTAGCTCACTAAAGATCAGGGGTAAATTGCCCCATCAGACGCAGCGAAGGTTGGTGTGGAGAGAAGCTTTCGCGGTAGCCAGGCTTTGCGCATTACTGGTTAATAATATTTGTTTGAATTAATAGATTTAGGTTGATCATTCGATGGGGGCGCCAAAGACAAAGTGTGAGAGAGCGATAGCGAAGTAGGGAAAATGAGGGAGAGAGCGACAAATATTTGTAATTGTCCAATAGTTTTTCAATTTATTGAGGATATTATCTTTATAGCGGATGTCTCAGAAGACGTGGATCAAACTTAAAATGGGAAAGTTAAAAAAAAAAACGGTATATGTGTAGTGATGAAAATGAACAGAATTCGAAAAAAAATTTAGGGTTCTAGTAATAATATGCTACCACTAATATATTTTTGTATTTAAATGTTTTAAAATAATGAAGTTCTAACAGAAAAATATTCGTTTATTACATTTTTGTTCGCTTATAAAACAGGAAACCCAATTTTGAGACGCAAATATGAACCAAGACGACCTCTACTACTGGATTGCCTCCAGGTTTTCACGTCGGCCGAAACAAACGTCAAACAAACTGAACGCTTTAATTAAATCGTTTATTTTAGCTGAAACTAATTTCCTTGGACAACAAAGCAGATTTCAGACGGGCAATTTATTTGGTTTGAGCGTATAATTAACAGCGTCATTTATTAATTTGAGTAATTTGTCCATAATGACCTATGCGTTAATTAATTAATAATTTAGTTCCTTTAATGACCCGTTAATTCATGGATGGAACATAATATGTTACGTACGAGTATGTCGTTTTGCTGCAATATATTTTGCTAAAACCACCAATGGCTCTTTTATGCAGTTGCATTAGTATTACTTAGTGCAATGTCAATAATAATACGTGTTTGCTGATATCTGGTCTAATAAAGATAGACTAACAACTTTCTTTCTCCGGATCAGTTAAACAACGTGTGATTTCCTAATTTTTTCCGCATTGGTCTATTGCAATGTTTTCTATTGATACGTAAAATGAATTATTATCATATCTCTCCATCAGAAGTAGCTTTCAAGTTACTTTTACTGGACCACATCTGGATTTAAAATTAAATATTTGTAAAAGAACCCTGCTATTTGTTTGTTTAATTAAGCTTAATATAACACAAATACACCAAAGTATAATTAATTGGTTAGTGCACCGATTACAAAATTTTCACTAAATATAATGCTTGTATTTGCTATTATAGTATTGTTTCTGCCTTAGAGCAATTTTTATGTTGCTTTTATTTATTTCTTATTGTTAACGGTTATCCTGTTTTACACACATGCTTTAGACTATTTTTAAAATTTCTTCCACAACCAGAAACATTTAAATCAGGACTGTTAAAGTCATAGTTGGTTAACGTTAAATGGAAAATACAATAAATCGATCGTAACTTTCGATGCTTTTAATGTATATGCTGCAAAACGCAACAAAAAATGTTCTAGCTGGTCAATAAGAGTTGTATAAAACCTGAATATCAAATTCCAATACCGAAGTCAGATGGTAATAAATCGATGAATGCTGAAAATACCTTGGACATCGCACACTTCCAATGAGGGTGTTCTCAGAATGAGTGGAAAGTGAGAAAAACAGAATGCTTCGGCTGTATCATCAGAAATGGACCGCACAAAGCTACCATGGCAGCGTAACATTAGACAATGGACTAGAATGAAAATATAGGGCCTCCTTAGAATAGCTGAACGATGAAAAATAATTGTTGAATATTCAAAGCATTTAATGTCTACCAGCCCTAAATTGCATTTATATGGAGAGTTGAACAGATTTAATGACCTTGAAAACTTTAAAATCATTGGCAAATCTCAAAAGCTTCGCAAACCTAACAAATTTATTATGAATAAATAAATTGAAGAGAAAGAGACCAAGAGCATTTAATTTAGATACTGTCCACTTGGAAATCATTTTTAAAGTCACCTAACAATGTCTTTTGATAAGTTTGAAGATTGGTAATAGTGATAAACATTAAAAATGGAACTACTGATTTTAGAAAAAAAAAGTTTATACAAAAGTTTAAATTTTAAAATTATTTATTTTTTATACATACAGGGTCTAAGATCAGTACTGGACCGACATTAGTTTTAAAATATTAAATTAAACATCCTAAATATTTCGACAAAAATGAAGGTAACTTCTACAGAAACTACTTATTCGAATCATGTGTAGTTTAAACAGAAACCAAGATTATATATTTTTTTATACAAAATTATGTTCTTAGTAAATATGGTGTTCCACGGCTGGCAGTAATGACGATGTGCGATGATTAGGTATTTTAAAATTATACAGGGTGTCTTAAATTAAAGGATATTTTTTTTAAATTTCGACTTGAAGTATTTTTTTTTTAAATGAGACCCCCATGTTTTTGATATTTTTTTCTCAATGCAGGTCAAAATATCTATAATATGGTATATATATGTCCTATACCTAATCTATAACCTATCTAATAGTTTTCGAAATTTTTAGGAATAAGCTTGCTGGAGAAAAATACTGACACTTAATTGTTTTAAAGAATTTTATAATGTCATGTCTTTTTTATATTTTATTTATTTTTAATGATTGTTTCAACGATTATTTGAAACTCATTTTTTACCCAAGTGGGCTGTGGTAACCAAATAAGAGTTTATAATTGTTTTAAGTTACGTTATAATTAAGAGTCAGTGTTACTTAAGATGTTACTTAAGTTAAAAATGTATACTGTGCAAGAAAAGACAGATAAGCTTGATTGTTCTTTATCGAATTCGAAAAGACCAACTAGAGAGAAAAGGTTCAGACCCCTAATAAAGTGCCCAACCTGTACGCAAAAAAAAAGCATTTGCAAATAATTTACAGTTAATAGTTATCAGTAACACTTAAAGCTGCGGTAAATTATATAAAATCGTTTAATTAAAAACGTCGGAATTCTGTTTAGCGGGTTGGAACTAACACAACAAAATCGATACGCGTAGGTCAGTATTTTGCTTCTGGCAGGGTGCATGCGGATCGTGCGAATTTGCGGCAAAGTTTGGCAAATGGTGCGCGAAAACGGGTACCGATAAACCCAATTACCGAAACTGCTGGGACATTTATGAAACTGGATTGCCTGATTTATTACTTTTAAAGTATCGGGCTACGATATGCGGGCTGATAAGAAACCGGCTGGGATTATAGCTATGATAAAAATTTACCGGTAATGATAATTCGATATCGTATTGTCTTTCTGTGATTATACTAGCAAAACTATTTGCATTGCGTCAGTGCATTACGTTATGAACAACATCAAAAACTAATAGAGATTCCGCAAGAGATCGGGATGGATCCTATGACCACATGGGGAACAGCAGATTGCAATACTTGTAATGTAATCATCGAAAGAGGTGTCTACCTGAAAAAATATTTAATTAAACTTTTTGACAGATGTTTTTATTTTGAAAATTGATTTTATATAATTATCTTAAACTGAATTCAAACATTCTATGCAATTATCTGTATCACTTAAGGTTTCTTTTGCAAATATTAAACGAAAAATAGATGATTCTAAAACAATTTATATTTTTGTTTAGTACAAAATTGGAATCCTAGCTAAAAAAAATTGAAAAAAAAAACTTTACTCAGATTTTTTCAATAAAATCTTGATTCTTGAAAGTCTTGTAACCTATTTTGAACAATATTTTTGTAGTTTTCGCCCTTAGAGTTCCCAAGAACCTTATCAATTACTTCTTTAAATGAGACCCAGGTGTTTTTTTGACATTGGTTGACATGTTTTGAAAATCCTTGTCTTCGCATAATATTCTTATCTGCTGCCCATCAAAAATACCTTCTTTTATTTTGGTATCAGATGTGCCTAGAAATTTTTAAAAACGAAAAACTTTGAGGTGAACTAAGCTCGCTCTTATTACATTACATACCAGGTGTAAAGGTTGTTCTAGAGGGCCATTCTATTTGAGTCCGATGTCTATCGTTTGCCCGACTATCCCACTCACAAATAAATGAAGCAAATTTTGTATAACCCCCCCTGTTGTCATTGAAGTCATCCACTGATATTCTTGGTAGTTTATTTTCTCTCTTCATTCGAGACCAAACAAAAATATATGTCGGCGCCCTTAGATTTAAGTGGTCGATATTTTCCCATATTTCGTTTTGGGTGTTTTGAGTGTTTATTTTTGACTCACATTATTTATCGGTGTAACGTAAACAGTTATAATTCCTCATATTGTGGACCCATGGGAACCTACTTTGGCATTTTCGAAAGTGAACGAAACTTGAACCGACGAAGATAGTCTGGCTTTATAAATGTCAATAATAATCAATTAAGTGATTAGAGTATTCATTTGTTTTAACCACTGTGTTGTGCATTGTTTTAATTTGTCCGAGAAGTCTAACCCTATGTCGCCTCGCTCGCCATCAGAACCAGCCCCACCTCGAGATTTGATTTCAATTTTATTATTTTTATTATATTATTATTTATTTTTTTCTTACGACCTCCGACATATACGACCTCCGCAAGAAGTCCTAAATTTTCATACGAGGCCAGTTCGTTACCATTGTGCCTCTTAAACTACGCCTACTTGGGTCAATAATTATTGACAGTAGAGGACCAAGGGAACAAAAATAATATCCCGTAGTACTAGGAAAACGGAAGAACAGTGTCTGTCAATCGGAGTAAGACTGAGAACATTGAAGTGATAAGTGTGGCGGTTACTCTGGAATGGATTTGAGATAGAGACGAATGCTATACATAAGTTGGAGTAGTAGAACGACCAATGTAGCAGAACTAGCTGGAATCAATACCCTCTCCAGATAACACACACACTTGCAGCTAATACTGGAAGGTGAGATTGAAGAAAGAAGGAGTATAAATGTTGAGTAAGAAACATACGAGACTGGACAGACACAGATGGCAACACCTTAATCCATCAAGGCCAACGGAGACACGAATTTTCCATGGTGATCGTCAACCTCAAAAGAGGCAGCACTTAGGAAGAGAAAATAATAGCGAAGGAAGAAATTCATAATAAATACATAACAAGAAAACAAAAAATATCAAGTAATTGGTGGGATAGCAAATATCGTGAAACAAGAAAACGCAACCAATGACGTCTTACTTGGCAGAGGAGGATTTTAAAAGTCAGAGTCGGTTGAGTATTTATAATTTATTGATTGAAATTGTAACATACGTTGAGGTAACAAAAACTTACGAAGGAAAAAGTAAGACCAATATTTTCTTAACATTTCATGAGTTATTGTTAGAAAAAGTCAAATTTGAAAAATGAAAAATGATCCGAAAAATTTAACGCACTACAGTTAAACTTATTTGTAGCTATTAAAAATTGACCTTTTTTTAAATACTGCCCAATACTGGACTGCGCAACATCTATTTAATTCTGGAAACAGTCTTCTAATTTGTGTGTGTTTGATACAATAAATAAAGATTAAAAAAATGGGAACAACTATTCCGCATTGTTTTTGCCAATCAACAAAAGAAAGTAAAATCACTCCTTACCCTTCTGACATTCCTCTCTTTTCCTGCGGATTTTTGGAAACCACACCTAGATGGTCCTCGTCCACTACCAGAGTATTCTATAGGGGGCGATACAGGTCTTCCATGACGGTCCATCCACGAACAGGTTTGCCGCTGCCAAGAAGCTCCTCTACCACCCAACACATCTCCCGGTAGCGCTGGCGATCTAACCGTCATACTCAACTTTCTACATGATTTGAGCATCTGAAATAAATGTAACACATTTCACAACCGAATCAAATCTTCCTTCCATAAACACATTAATTAATTTAAATTTATAATCTGTACGTACTTAAAATCAATCGTGCATCATTATAGACCACCAATTTAAAACCAAGTTTTACTAACCAACTAACCAAAACTGTAATTTAAAATTTTCAAGCAGTTCACATAAGAGGCCTTGGTATTTACCAAGCAACAATCTTCCAAATGTGATTAATGACTTTCGAAGCGCATCTAATGTAAAAATTTCATTTTACTATTTTGAAAATTCAAAACTAATGAATTAAAGATAATTAACAAGATCGGATTTCTCTTAAGCCAAAGAAGGGTTCCTTAATGGTCCAAATTTCTTTAATAAATGTGCGAATTTTTTTTTTCATATCTGCCGAGGGCAATAAAACTGGGTCCGGTAGCTGGCCAGAATATTAGGGACGGAGTCTCAAAGGTTTTGGTAATAATTTATTTTTGTTTAGTTAAGTGCCTAAAATTTTATTAAATTACACTAAAAACCAGCATTGACATTAATTATATACAATAAATTCTTAGCTAGGAATATCTAGGCACAATTATATTTGAGATTAATTATAATAGATAATATGTAAGAGTCCCCAATTTTTATAATGTACTATACTGAATTTTTTCTGCTCTAAATTGGTATGTTTTTTTTTCAAATAAACATCTATAAGCTACTTTTTTTATAGGAATCAATCAATATAGGAATCAGTCATCCGAGACGGTGTTTATGCCCCTCATTTAAGGTACAGACTAAAATGTGAGTCAGTTTCAGCTTTGAAGAAGCCACCAGGATTATTGGCGAAACGTCAGCAAGTTCGACTTAACAAAAACCGACGCAGGAGGAATCCAGAAGTTTTATAAAAAGTAATAGAGGCGTATTGTTTTTTTTTCCGAAATGTATGAGATATTTTCAGGATTACGAAATTGAAAAATACTGTGTTCAGGAATCATTTTTCATATTTTATTTACGAATTCTTGTCTTGTCTGTTAAAAAAAACAAGAAATCACTTAATAACGAAAGCAAATTAAAATGACATCGGCGTGATTAAAAAGTGAGGCACATTTTACAATAGAGAAAGACTGCTAGCAAGGTTCGAATCTTATGGGAACCATTTTTATTAATTAGTTTTGGCAAATTTTGATTCTGAGAGTAGTTTTTGCATTATATTATTTGCCTGATCAGCCAAATTATCGCATTCATAGTGTTTTTTAATTGCATATGAATTTAGGACTTCCCAAAGTTGCGCCTTTTGCTAACTGAGTTCAACATACATATCACGTTTTAACATATATTCCTGGATTTCAGGATTTGAATTTCATGAGGCTGGTGCTTTGAGTAGCTGACAGCTGTGGTAACTTGCGTTATCCGTGACAATAACACTGTTATTGGGGATATTTTTGAAAATATTGCTTTGAAACCCAATTTTCAAAAAGTTTTCCAATTGGATTCTTATAATAATCCAATCCTTAATATTGTTCACAGACAGCAGCAAGCAGTTTGGGACAAATCTGTCTTCTGACCCAGCTTGTATTATGGTAATGCGTTTTACTTTATTTGAAGATGCTTTCGTCTGCCAGTTATGAGTGGAATCAACCTAACGTTTGTCCCTCCTGTATATGGATCTGTTGTATAATCTATATCTTCTAAAATCTTGAAAGTAATTCAATCTCCAAGTGTAATGTGTGATCTGTGTGATTCCATTACTACTTGACTTTTGTGTATTTTGCTGTACTTAAATCCCATTTTACAAACAACTCTATAGAGGCTGGCACGGCTTATATTTATATTGGCTTCATCTTCTTCTAGCTTATTTTTCAGTTTACCCAAGGTAGGAACAACTTCGCTTTGAGAAAGGCAATATATTTTCCTTCTTATTAGATGAGTTTGACAATCACTACCTTCTCAACAATTAATAATATCCCTTATCGACGATATTGGCCTTTTTGTAAATAGACAGTCTCTTTTAAAGCTTCTTGTTGAATCAGCCCTCTACTGATTAAAGTGTTATACACATTTTTCACAACCTGTTTTGCATCAACCGACAAATGATTTCGACGCGATATTGTTATGTTCTCGTAAAATAACTTTTTTGAAACGCTCAGTAAAAAATATTTTTCAACACTGCCGCAAATGGTCAATGGAAATATATCAAAAAGAAAGACTATACCCAATAACAATAGGTACTAACATCGTTAAAGTTTCATTGAGGAGGGTTCGTCGAAAGTCAACACGATAAAGATTGAGACAGATTATAACAACTTTGATAAAGACCATTTTAGTCACGAGTTTGATTATGCACAAGAGGAACGCAGGGGAATGAGCGTTTAATTAACGAATGTCTGCTGAAGTTAATCAAAGTTTTGCATTTAATAATTTGTCTACGGCTCTTAGTTTAGTGGAGAGGTCGTAGACTAGGTCTTGTTTCATTGTATTTATCAACATAACATTTCCCTTTCCTTTATAGTAATCTTTTTTTTTTGTTTTCAGTGTCATATGATTTATTTGATGCATTGCTGACCCCGTTTGGTCAACTAAACGGCAGGGCCTTTTAAAAGCTTCATGATTCATCCCAAAGGCACAATATTGCCACCCTGTGAAGAAAAATGAACGAAAAATGTTCGTTCTCTACACATCTGTACTTCGGTATGTTTGATTTTTAAGATGTCACAAAATTCTTCTTAACAGTTGTGAAAATATAATTTACCTTTCATCCACGTTGGTCGTCAATGGCCTATTCTCACCAATAATATAATTGACTTCATACTGGACCTTGGCGCGAGTAAGAAATAGATTTTACTCCATCCAAGTCTCAATCAATAGCTTCCTTTGTAATAGAATAAACGAGGCCGTCAATTAATCCCAAGCCAACCCTTTAATTAAGTAGTCGTTCATAAATTCAACATAAAATGGATACATGATATCCGAAATTGCCGCCTGTATACATATTGCAGACAAATATATTTCCTGCTCCGGTTCTTTAATGGACGGCATCGATTTTGTTATTCCGCTACAATTTTTTATTGCTCCGGATCACGAAATACGCAGCCAGCCCGGTTAGGTAAATAGAAGGAAATAAGGAATTAAACTGGAACGGAAGGCTCCAAAAATATTTCAATAAGACTTATTGCTTCCGTTTTGTGACGAAACGCATAAATGTGTGTGTAATTAGTGTCAAAAGTTTCTGGAACGTGGTGGTAAGGTATACTTTTACGACAAAAGCTTTCTGAATTGTGTTCGGTTATTATTATAATACCCACATAATACGAATGAGATTTATTTTATTGAAATGAAATTATCGTCTAATAGCACTTTTTTAATTTAGCAAACTTATTAAAGATTTACTTGAGGTAGGATCAGGACACGTTTAATTTCTTGAGGGGCCACCATTACCTTTTTACTTCGCGTAAACTCGTGGCAAGGGGGCTTTTATACAGCAAAAGGGGCTACTTATGTTGAATTTAAACTGGCTCTGTAAAATATTAAGAGTGCCGTGCCTATACCGATTTAAAACACTCTTAATCACACATAAAAATAAAGATTCACTCAATAAACACACTGATGTCCCGTACTAGAGAAAGTTATAGAAACCAAAACTAAATAATATGTTTTCTGAAAGATCCCTAAATTACGCTGGACCATACTGTTATAAGTTGCTTCCTCCAACACTAAAAAAAATGATCAAAAGGCAATTTAAAAGATACGTCAAGAGGCTCCTATCGGGCAATACTTTTTGCAGCCTGAAAGTCTTTGAAATGTATTGGAGAGCGTTCGAAGCTTTCTTTTTCAAAACCAAAGTGTTGTTGGTTATACATTTGCCTGTAATACTCCTTTTATAGATTTTTTAAAAAGTAGATGCGTACGTTGTTTTCTGATGAAACATCCAATGTACTGAGAGTTGTGAATAAATTATCTATTTCTCTATCATCTATCTATGAATTACACATTTTGATGTCAATTCGCTTGAGCTTTTTGCTTTTAACATCTAATACAAAAATGCAATTCGAAGTCACTATTACTTTAGCTATCTGTTTGGTTGGAAATGGTTCCTTTATCGTTCTTAATTTAAATAAAAAAATATATGGAATAATAACAATATTATGTTACGGCCACTAAAAATATTTAAGGTTTATAGTAAAATTGCCTTTTTGATTCATGATTGAAATTTTTGGTAGTAATTGTTGCTAATCATTAATTTAGGATTCTTTAAGATGACGTCGACATAAAAACAATTTCGTAATTACACTGAACTTTCAGAATATTAAATGAATCATTTCTGGCAGATTTTCGCTTTAGTCAACTCAAAAGGAAGAAAAAAGAAATAAGTGAAGAAAAGAGAAAGAAAGCGAAAAACGAATGGTTATCAACATACGATGATATTTAGAAAATCGATAGCTTTGGATGTGGCGAAAAATATAATGTTACTACAATTATATTATACCATAGACCCCATGAAAACATTTCCAAATAGACCCGTATGACAATATTGTCAAAAAAATGGGTAAGAAAGAGGTAAGTAATAAAATACAGGCATGGGTCAACTAACCCACAGCATAAAAATACCCCAAGATGGTCATGCAAAAATATGTTTTAACACTTTTGCCGAAATATTTCTTATTACCTTAAGTTTATATTGCTTTCAATTATCCCTTCCGATTGTAATTTTATTCTATTTAAAGGAAAAATGGCCCAAAGGTCTAAATTCAAAATTTTTTTGTTTTTAATAAAATTAATCAAACATATAAAATAGATTCAAACTTTTTGGCTTCCTACGATATTTGTATTGTTTTGCCTATTGAATTATACATATTTGTGAACATCTATTATATAATTTAGCTATTGAAGTATAAATGAATATAAACAGAAGTTGATCGTTAAATACTCTATTTTTAAACTAATTTACTAGTCATGCGTTACCCTGTTTTAAGCTTATTTAGCGAGGGCCGTCAATAAATATTTTGTTTGCAATTATTACATATTTGTGAATATTTATTTCGTAATTTCACTATTCAATTATAAGTCAATAGACCTATAAATTTCATTGTGTTATAAACTCATCCTTACAAGTAATTCGCCAATTCTAACTTAGTCGTTTTTAAATTTCAATAGCGAGAACTCCCATGTATCATTTTTTTTACCAAATTATACATATTTGAGAATATCTATTTTGTCAGAAAAATATTGAGGTAAAAATTAGTAGACAATACATTTTTTAGGGTTAAAAACTCATCTATGAAAATAACCCTGGGTTATCTCTTTATAAATTCAGTTAGTAAGAACTCCCATCCAGATTTGTGAATACAAATTCTATAACTCAACCAATGAGGTATCAATTAATAGATAACAAAGGATAGACATTCTGTAACTTAATGACTGAGGAATAAATTGATAGATAATACAATTTCATGATGCCAAAAGCACGTCTTTAGAAGTAGCTTACTAACCCCGAGTAACCCCATTTTAAATTTAAATGGCGGGAGAATTCTCGGGCGATGAAATTTACAGCTCCATCACTAACCCGTGAGCGTTGGTTATTAACAACACGTTATTGGCTTGGAAACCGTGGTTTGCCGCATTTCCGATAACATCGCCCAGTAACGTAAAACGTCCGTTTACTAACTTTCACGCTAACTGCTCACTTCCTACGACTTATCGTAGGGATCGACACGACATTGCTATCGACCCCACCGACTAACTCAAGTTTGAAAAAACACTCCAGAGAAATTGAAAAGCAAATTGGTCTAACTAGAAGACTAGATGAATAATATGTGAATGCACCAACCGCGAGTTTTAATTTATAATTTGTGACTCGCTGAACATGAACTATCAAATATCATTTGGAGTCTTGCCTTCAATCAGCTGAAAGATCTTTGTATTTTTTTCAAGACTACATCTAATTTAGATATACTTTTCTATCGACAAAGGATATAGGATGGTGTTCTATCCCACCGAATAGTCCTCACTGGGCCGGATTATAAGAAGCTGGTATAAAATCAACTAAATTCCAACTTGAAAAATGTATTGCTTGAAGTTTTGAGGAATTGATAACTGTGTTAGCACAAATAGAAGCCATAGACACCGTCACACTTTTGAATAGGTGAACCATTAACTAGTTACCCAGGAAAAGCTATATCTAGAAATATCTGAAAACAGGTTAAGTTTTTGGCAAAAATATACAAAGATTCAACGATCATTTTCGAAACGTCGCTCAACCAAATAATTGAGCAAGTTGCAAAACCCTCCAAAATGATTTAGTCCGAGAAAAGTTCTTACTGCAAATCGTTTTATTAAAATTCTGACTGGCATGGTCTATTACAAAATCATTTCTCTTACTTCAAGAAAGTGTTGATGGATGAAGTGTGGAGTGGATGGAGTGGATGTTTAGCTATGCAAATAGAATTTATTCAAATTCATAATCTTGGCGCCATCTCTACATAACTAAGAAGCTTAAACGCAAACGCAACCCAGCTGTTATCTACAGATCAATATCAGATCAATATCAATCAATCAATATCACGTCGATCATATTTACTTCAATACAAATTTTGATTTCTTTCGAATTTTTATTGAATTAAGTATCGAGTATCGAAAAATTAGAAGCATTGCAATAACGAACACAAGGAAAAAAAAAGAAAAATCCAAAAAAAAAGGAGTAACTCTGCAGGACGGCTATCTTCAGAACAAGAGGAAGGAAAAGAAAATTGTCTGTAAAGCAGAAAAGCCTTAACTGATATAAATATTTTTCTCCATACTTCTTACGGAGCTTATTAAAACAAAACAAAACCAAAAATAATATCCGCATCTCTGGCGCAGATTACAAAAAGGTGGAAAGGCTTTTCGTTAACAACGTGTCTCCTAATTATCGTCAACAGATTCTGGTTACATCGACGAAGACAAGGGAAGCAACAAGGAGCTCAGCGGTTTACTTTTTGAGTCGGGAGCTCGTAGAAAACGGGGAAGCCTTCGAGGTTCTTTGATGCCATTGTCTGCTACATTTAGGCCTGCTTTAATACCGCACTTGTTCCTTTACACCCTTCAAATGTCTATCGTTCGGTTTAATTTCAAGGGCCCGATTAAGGAACCTGCCTTTATGTACCGCGACTCAACTCACCCTTTGTGTATCTGTTTAGAGGGAGATCTTTTTCTATCTTAACTCCTTCAACGTTAAGGGCGAGTGTAAAACAGAACGCGCTGGGTTTCGATGAGTTTAAGTTGAGGGTTGAAATCTTATATCAAAAAACTAAGTGATGGGTATTTCAGGCAACCTAAAGCTTACCATTACAGCTTAAGATGCAAAAGTTTTAAACAAACGACATGTTGTAACGTTAAATCCAAAAACAAATCCTTTCTAATACAACATAAATTAATAATATTTCGACGCAATTATTTGTGAATAAACGGAGCGCGATAAATTTTGAGAATTACCTTTAAAGCTTCTTCGTGCGAGATCCCCGTAAATGGTTTTCCATTCACTTCCAAAATTGAATCTCCCGGCCTCAGGCCAACACGCTCAGCCACGCTTCCTTCTTCTACTCGCGATATATAAACCCCAACTCCTGCAACAATTAACGTGAAAATTTCACTGCGCCTCCGACTAGTAAAACTTGTTTATTTTTTTATTATTAAAAAATATTTGATTATCAAAATAACAATATTTTATTTTGGCTCTGTATTTTTTTTTGGTTCATTCTAAATCCATAATTTTGAATTCTCAAGTTCTGATCAAGGATAATTTTACACTTTTTTTTTATCTACACAATTGAGGAGTAGAAGTAACAAAGGGGCCAGTGCCATTTTTTTTGAAACTTAGATTTTTATATAGAAATGGGGCAAAGTGTCACAGAGTTATAATTTCCGGAACAAATTACGCAGATAGATGGCGCTGTCTGTAAGTGATAGGTTATTTTCACAACAAAGGGGTCAAGTGCCGTTATACATGTTGTGCGTTTATATTGTTTGTTAAGCGGTTTCTGTAATGACGCTGTCAAATATTGTAAAGAGCTATTAGAAACGAATTTTGAATGTCGAAAATAAGGAAAGGGAATATTAAGTGATGAGCAAAGACAACGCGAAAATACAGGACAATCCTATAAAAACAGAAATGGGAACGCTGTAGCTGAAAAAAAGAAACTTAACTTACAAGTAAGTCATTGTTTTAAGGTCGGTGCCAATTTTTATCTTATGCGCTGTAGGTTTGAATTCACAGGCTTAGCGCAGTTGTTAGTATAGTGAATTAGATACTCACCAAACCTTTTTTTAATATTGTGAACAACCCTACCGAGATCTCGTAGACAGATCGTTTTACTGTGTATAGATATTTTTCTGTATGTCCTAAAAAATATTCTTCTTTCGTGCAGATAACATGTAAATGTTAATTTAACAGCAAATCGTTAAACTACGAACAGAGATTGACACTTTTTGAAAAATACTGAGTGCAGACCTGAAGTCCTTGAAACATATATTATGGGGTTAATATATTTCACTGACGTAAAGAGAAGAAGACCCTCGTAATAGTCACCGTCAACGTACCACCCACTATCGCTTTCCAGACGGAGAGGGTAATTTTGTAGTTGTATGTAAATCTACTTTTGTAAATACTTTCGATTTGACAAAAAAGCATTTGGAAACTATTATACGAAAGAAAAAAAGCTGTAAAGTCGTTTATAAACTTGTAAGAGAGCATATAAATAGTATACCCCGAGAAAAATCATAAGAATATTAAAGTCCAAATTTAAATGTGAACCGCCTTCATAAAGTATGTTTGCAGAAATATCTACTTAGTTTGGCTACCTAAAAGTTTTACAAAAAGGTGTTGAAAGAAGACTTTCCAAATGTTTCATTTAGAGGACCTCGAAATGACACCTGTGGTAAATGTGACTCATTAAATTGCGAAATAAAAGCGCATTGCGAAAGAAGTCGGGCAGCAAAGTTGGAGCTGGAGCACCATAGAAATGCAGAAGCATCGTCGCAAGTGCTATGAAGCGCCAGAGTGGATTTAGAACAAGATATGTTCGTACCAACTTTGACCCACTCTGACGTGTTCTATATGAGCCAACTTTCATGCTACAACTTAGGAATCAACTTTTGGGATAACAGGCATACATACTTGGCACGAAGGAGTGGCAGGACGTGGCGGTAACGAAATTGGGTCTTGTTTATTACGCGTCCCCAATATGGGAATTACAGAAAAAAGGAATGTTGCTATTTGTTTTCATTTGTGTTTTTAGTGAGTTGTGGACTCTTTGATACTATTGAACATAGGTCAGTGTCAGTATCAGTGGTCATAGCTCTCTTCAGTGTCACAGAGATTTCGCGTTGACCAAGAAAAGAATGCGCAAGGACTGTCAAGTACACACACAGGCCGATTTGAGATAGTAGATATGACACAAAAAAATTTGATCTACAAGCGGCGGCTGACAAGATTTAGTAACTCAAACAAGTGAATATTAGCAAAGTCGTTCGAATGAAAGTTGACTCCCAAAAACCTGGCTTTTTGTTTATTGCTGAATTTTTTTCTGAAGCAGCATGTTGGAAACCCATATCGATACTTAAGAAAGGAAAAGCCATAGAAGATATTAGAAATGTCTCAGTTAGGTTGCTACTAGACGTGAATAAGATCGGTGATAACAAGGAAGGGCACCTAATATCAATGACTGCTCCTCTAAAAGACCCTAAGCATCAAGACTTTTATTCTAATATGACCAAATAATGTGTTGGCACTTAGTCAGTTTCTCATTTTTCTTAAATATTTTTAAAAATGTTGTTGAAAGTAATTTTTTCCATGTTTTTTGGGTCGCAACTTATTTATTCGTAAGGAATTTATTTATAACCCTTTCGTTACTTCTACTCTACAATTGCAATCTAGAAAACTGACAAATTCTTCCTCATACCTCGATACATAAATTTGAATTTAGGCCTATTTGTGCCATTCAATATTTTTGAGAAGCCTAGTTTTCAAATCACAGAGACTAAACTTTTTTATTATTATTATGGTGCAATGTTATGCCCAATGTTGCTTTTAATAAATCTTGAAAATAACTTTATAATTCATATACTTTCTGTCTAGCTGCAGAAATCGACATGCGATTGACACACTGTTTAATAACCCCGTTTACAAGAAATAGTTACGAATTCAGATGAAGATATAACCTTCAATTATTATCAAAATAACAATATTTTATTTTAACTGCTGTAGTTGGGAATCTGTCACTTTTTCGGTTGGTTACAAATCTGTAATTTTGATATCTTCAGTTCTTTGAATGACAGATTCTAAAAACAAAAAAAATCACTATTTAAGTGTGCTTTTACAATTTTTTTACCCCATTTTTACGAATTATACTTATTTATTTAACTTTTAGGAAAAAACCGTCAAATACTAAATGATGAAAATTATATATTTTAAATGGTAAAATTCTGCACATTTTTTGTATAATATGCCCTATACCCAAATCGAATAGTTTTTGAGATATATCTTTTTATATAAAAGCAACCTTCAAAAATAAAATAATATTCTAGAATTTATAATTTTTGTCTTTGACGGCTGTGAAGCAGGCCGCTGTGGAAAAGAAGATATTTCTTTATAACTGACGGCGAAAGTTACAGATTTAGCAAAACTATGCTGCTTTTATGATATATGAAACGTCTTACCCGCAAAGCGAAAAATAATGAATTTTGGAAACGTTTATTAAACCAAATAAGAATGCCAAAATGGCTACGTGCAATTAATTCCGATTTCAAGTTTCAGACAAAAAACTTTCATCGAATCTATGAAAAGTTTCAACAAATACCCAGCCTACACCTAAATTCGATAGTTTTCGAAAAATACTCTAAAACTTATAATTTTGGTAGGTACAATATATTGGTTTTACAAATGGAATTATTCAAAGGCCTCCCTTTTTCTTCAATACATCTGATGCATGGGCTCCGTAATCTTTCCAAACCGGCAGTGATAGATTGGAAACATTGTTCATTTAGAATTTGAACCTCTGTGCTAATCAGGTTTTGTAGATGCTGTCTGTTTTAGATAGTACGTGCGTGTTTACACGACCTTTTAGAGTCCCCATAAAAATGCATCCATCGGCGCCTTTGAATTAAATAGTCTTAACGAATACTGAGAGGGAGCGTCGTCTTGCTGGAAAACAACGTTTCTTATTTGTTCCAGCTCATCCACATAGTTTTGTAATTCGTTCTGGAGAATCTTTAGAAAACCATTACCGTTTACAGTAGCGTCGAAGAAATGAAGACCTATTATCCTGTTGTTTAAAATGGTTTGAAGTTCTTGAAATTTAAATTTATTGTCGTTGTTTAAATTTATAATACTATAATAAATAAATATAAAATAATATAATAATATTAAAATAATAAAAAATAAAATAAATTTATAATACCACTATTCTTTAACAAACGTTTCCAAAATTATTTGTTTTACCCTTTCACTATTTTATAATAAAAAAGACGTAAGTCACAGCCTCGTAAGACATAAATTATAAATTCTAGAACAGAATAAGTATTCGAAGCACATGTTTTAAAAACTTCTAAAACGAGAAAAGTGTGAGGCAATTTCTTTTTCAATAAATCTTACTGGTCGAATTTTAGTTTTCATAGATTGACGATTCTCTTGAAAATAAATTTTCTATTTATACGGTCTACAATAACAGTTACTCATAAATCGAGTAATTACACACAAACTTGACATTCTATGTAATAACTGCCCTTTCAAAAAAACAATTACTAATTTTATAAACTGTACCCGTTTTGGCTTAGTTTGGATTTGACAGCTCTCGAATGAAGGACAAAGATGATGCACCACCAAGTCAATTTAATTTGATAATGAAAACCCAGGAGACCCATTGACCTAACCAATAAACTGACCGGCTTCTTTGCCTCCTTTCACGCAAATTCCAAAACCGTGGGTCCCATCCTGAGGATCCCTCACCATGGTTACAGTCCTCGTGATCAACTCGTGAATAGATGGCGAGTAAACCGGCGGTCTGTAGTTTATTTGATGCGTCGTCGAAGGTGGACTACTCGCCGGCGACCTCCTGGGTCGTTCTGGGTTAGCTTTCGACCCCGAAGAGTGATTTGCTGACCCAAACAATCGGAGGACCTGCTCGGGCGAAATTGGGCGCTTTTTGTTGTTGCTTGACGAGAGAGTGCGCGTACTTGAGAAGTTGGGGTTCGAACCCAAGTACGTACCTGGAAAAACCAAGTAACACTATACTGGTCAAATGTTTTACGTCTAGGTTCGACAAGAATTATTCTACCGTGGTGCCTGTCGAACGGAACATAGGAAATCCCATGTGAATTTTCAGGTGCCCAAGTATTGGCTCCCTTGTACATTTAATAGCAAAATTGTAATATTGCTTTTGAAGGGGCGGGTTTGAATAAATTTTAATCTTTAAAATTGCAAGAGGTCAATGCAATACAATATACCGAATATTTTCCATGATGCTATTTTCAAAATGACATATCAAATAAAGGTTGGTTTACAATGAAGACATGCGCATTTGGTTTCACACATTCAAAGTAAACTTAGTACGTACGTATATCATTATGTTGTTCTTAGAATCAAACTCATGCTAGGTTCTTAAGACCTTCTTGTCCCTTAAATCGTTCTTGGAATTAATTTCATTTAAAAAGGGGTTTAAACAACAAGGGAACTTGATGGACCGAGTATAATATGTCCAATAATCGAAGATTGACTTATTAAAAAAGTTGTATTACAACTTTGTTATAATGTATAGTGGACCCAATATTTGGGCACCTAGTAATAGACAGGGGATTTTCCGGTCAGCAATGCATCACTTGGTATAATTAAAAATAATAAACGCATATTAGTCATAATTATATCTTGGTAATCGAAGACAAGTTAAAAATATTTAGGTTACAATTCCAATACATTTTTTAAAAATTGGTGGATCGAAAGTAGATGTAGATATCAAATTACTTTTTTTTAAATGGAACACCATTTTCGAATTGAATTTCACGCACTTGGTATGCCCCATACCTATCTCTCATTTTTTATTAACAAAATAATAAAAAACATAAATTTAATTTCGAAATGTGATTTAGTATCAGTAAAGTTCATAATTGAAGAAAGAACCATTACAAGAGTGAGTAAAATTAGGGAAAATTTATAATTTTCTTATTAGGTGTTAAAATGCCCTATTCCTTCGTAACTTCTTGGCAATATGCCGATCAATTTGAAAACCCTTCCAAAAAATTGTCTAAATGTTTATTAAAATCATTTAAATTTTGTTTTTCCTTATATACCCTTGATTTTATCGGGTTCCTGTAAGATTTTGTTCAATATTTTAATCGTTCATTGTACTAGACATTCATCATTCGTGTCTAATACTACATGTTTGAATTCTTCGGTCAATTCTGGTAACTTTTGAGTTTGCAAAATATGTGTTATTTATCTTGAAACACTCCATATATGATATGTGTGCGTATATTGTATACATTCGGATCGATGGCATTATACGCAAAAAAAAGAGAAAAAACAAGGCAACATGAACCACAATCTAAAGCCACATTACCATATTTTAGGTGTATCATTTATTTAATAAACATTAATAATATCATCATTAGGCATCGTAACTAATTTATAAAACATTTAACTACTTTCAGAGTAATTCAAAGTATTTCAATTTGGTGGAAATAATTTTTATCTCGAATATTGCGACAAACCTGTAACAACGTTTCCTTACTGATACCAAAGCAACTATCAAAAATTACAAAAACCATGTTTTTGTGGTGTTGATGTTTTTCGCAAATATGTTACGCATGTTTAGTTTAAACACTTTAAGTTGGCATTACTGTTCAAGATGGCGACCGATTTAACAGCTGTCAAGTGATTTATTCTCAGTTTGGTTTGGCAATTCATCATGAATAGACTCACTCCTCAACAACGCTTGCAAATAGTGCAATTTTATTTGGAAAATAATGGTTCTGTGCGGAATACGTATCGCGCACTACGTCCATTTTATCGTCGACAAAATCGTCCATCAGAGCAGTTCATTCGATTAACCATGGAACGTTTTCGCACCACGTTTACTCTTATTGATAACTCGCATCCCCAGAGACGCCGTACGGTGCGTACAGAAGAAGCTATTGCTGCTGCCGAATGAGTCCAACCGCCATCGAGCACAGGAATTGGATCATTCATTCCTGAATTGAATAACCATAATGTCCAGGAGATGTGGTTTCAACAAGACGGCGCAACATATCACACAGCTCGTGCCACAATCGATTTATTGAAAGACACGTTTGGTGACCGCCTAATTTCACGTTTTGGACCTGTGAATTGACCTCCAAGATCTTGTGATTTAACACCGCTAGACTACTTTCTGTGAGGCTATGTAAAGTCATTGGTCTATGCGGAAAACGCTTGACCATTTGGAAGACAATATTCGCCGTGTTATTGCCGATATACGGCCACAAATGTTGGAAAAAGTCATTGAAAATTGGACTACAGAAATCATATTTAAAATGTAATGCCACAAGATTATCTTTCGGATAAATAAAATTCATGTCAGTCGAATAATCCATCGTTGATTTATTGCGACTTAAAGTTCTATACATTGAAAAAAAACACCCCTTACTTATACAAGAGTAGTCATTTACAAAGTAAAGTAAAGTAATTTCTCTTTTAATACGTCTTGACGCGAATATTATAACGTCCCGTTCGCCTGATTCATTCGACGTCAATCATTAGAACAAACCCCCCTAATAATCACGTGAGGACCTTACAAAATAGACGTCATTATTTTGACGTGACTTTGACGTATAATAAACATCTTTCGGTTGCCTGGGATTTGTTGAATCGTTCATACTACATACTACTACATACATTTACAGTAACACTAAGATTTTGAGTGAATATATTCGTCATCGAAAGATTGAAATAAATATAAAAATTTAAAGAAGTTAAACGTATTGAACAACCCAAACCCGAAGAAGAACTCAACAAATAATGTATGTAATGTATTATAATCTATTTCTATTCTTGAAACAATCGTCCATTTCCTAAAGACGTTTTTTGTTTATCTATCAGCGTCATTTAACGGTAAAACGCACGGACAAATTATTATGCCATAAACGCCGTTTAATGTTTCGCTCAGAACGCAATCGATATTTTCATTTCAACTAAATTACAACCGACATTACAAGATTTATAGGACATTAGTTAATAATTTGTCGGAAGTTCAGTTAAACGGCTTTGTGGAATGTCACGAACTTATGTGTCACACGGTTATTGATCAACTCCCTAGTAATCCCTAAATGTTCCGTTCGACTGCAGAATTTTAAAAGCGAGGACAGCGTTATAGAATTCCAAGGAAAATTACTTTAAATTCGATTGGGGAAGAATCTGCTGCAGTGCCATTTAAAACAAGGATCCTTTGTGGCCAATGGAATAGATGGTATTTTATATCCGAATATTTGCTATTTTTTATAATTTAAAATTTGGCATTGGGCAAGACATATGAGAAAAAAAATGCAATTTATTTAAAAATAACCAGATAGAATTATTATAACATGGTTAATTTATAAAAAGAAATCTTAAAAAATTGTCCGATTGAGTCAGTCAGAGAAGAAATCGACTCTTTTATAACATTGGTCAAACACAGGTTACAAATTATTTCTCCACGAAATTTGGAATACTAGAATCAAGTACCTAACCTAACATTGACATGTCATAACCATGACAGTATACCGAAACCACTCAAAAATTTTCTTTAAATTCATTTGTATTTTTCAAATTTATCATCTATTTGAATTACTTACTACGGGCTATAGATAAGAAATTGGTTAAGTAAGAATAAAATATTTCGTAAACATAAAGTATTATTGTTGTTTAGAATTTCATTTTTCATTATTTAATTATTTTTCCATTTATCAGTTTATTTTCGCTAATATATCTTTGAATAATTGTCACATCTAAATTTTAATTAAAATTAAATTAAATGGAAAGAAAGATAGGAAACCAGAATAATTAATTTAGTCTTTTATTGTTTATTTAATTCGTTTAATTTTGTATAATTTCATATACAGGGCATTAGGAAATTGAGTTTGGAAATTTGGATGAAACATTCAACGTGGTAACAAAAATTCGAAATAGTAATATTTTCCGAATTCCAACTTGTCAAAATCCATTTTTAATTTTTTTTTTTTAGCAGCTGGTATTTTACATACAGCCCAGATTTAGTAACAGTCATCGTTCCAAAATAAAAGTTTTTGAGAAATCTGTCACCAGAGGGCACTTTACCTGGAACATTTTTTTTTAATTTTCCCTGTATGTTATTTATTTAGACTGATATTGCAAAATAGGACAGATTGGCTTAAGCCTCAAAAATTGTTACTCTTGTTTTAAGTCGATAAGTGTTATCGTTTAGCAACAAATCGACTTCTTTATTCTGGGCTCGAATTTCACCTGTAAATGTGGTCACTGTAAAAGTCATTGTCACAATCCGTTATAAATTAAATTCTTTTAAAAGAGCTTATTATCCAAAAGCGGCTGTGATGGTACCCATCAGGAATATTCAAATACTGAATATCGCGATATGCATTTTTTCTAAGAAGAGCAAATGGAAATGCAGATCAAGCACGACGGCTTTATATTGAAGCTTATCCCAATAGAAACGTTCCACCTGTTAAACATTCATCAACATACACAGAAGACTTGGTGAAAGAGGATTATTCAAACCTGATAATATGAATAAAGGGAAACCAAGGTATAAAGAAAGAAAGAAAGAAAACTTAAAAATTTGGAGGCTAACCTGTCAACGAGTACCAGAAAACTTACTGCTCTACAGTTCGGGATGTTTTGCGTGAAAATGATCTTCGGCCCTTTCATGTTCAAATGGTATGAGGGTGAGCAAGAGTAACAACTTTTGAAGATTTGTGATTCTGCTTAAGGCAATTTATTCTATTTTGCAATGTCAGTCTAAGTAAATAAAATATAGGAAAAAATATTCTAGGAAACGTGCCCTCTAGTGATAGATTTGCGAAACACATTTATTTTGTAACGATGACTTTTACTAGATGAGGGCTGTGTGTAAAGTACCAGCTTATAGCCATTGAGAATTCATCCCACTGCGTTAAAAATAAAATTTAAGAAAATGAATTTAGACAAACTATTACTCGGAATTCGAATTTTTGTTACATGACTTACCACCATTATTTTACCACGT